ATCAGGATGGTCTCACGAGGCTAATGTTTCCCATGGCATCATTGTTATCTGAAGTTTTCTCCGGTCTATTCAGCTTCATTTAAGTTCTTTCCTAGGCATATTATTGAAGTCCTGTAATAAATAAATACATATATATATATCAGGGCGCAAATACTTTCTACATCAGTGTACCCATTTCTTTCCTCAAAGTTCCTAAAAGTTCTTGGGATTTCAAAACATTTCAAAAAAAAGAAGATTTTTTTTTAACATCCAAAAAACCCAGTTGAATTACATTGTAATTTCTCACTATATCAACTTTACCTTCCGTTACTTTTACTGATTTACTTACAACTATCTAGTATATTTTTCCAGAAGATTTTGCTGCTTCTCCACATCCTAAGATTTAAAAGAGCAATTATAACTAGTCCAATGGGTGTATCCCAAAGCAAGGATTATTTTTCCGGTTCATCCATTTGTTATGATGAACTTTTGCTTCCTTTTTGCTTTGAATCAAAACTTTTAGGTATTAACATAGATTATTAGATTCTGCAAGATAAATCTTTATAAACACAACTAATAGAAACAGTAATTGGGGGAGATTTATTTTACATCCTATCATATTCTGCCCTTTTTATCCCTTCACGTATCTGGAAGTAGTATGAGAAATTCTAAGAAAGGGCTTTGTTTAAATATACTCATCTTTCATGCATATTAAATTTGTCCAACAGAAGCCCATGAGGAGGATATGCTTATGCATTTGCTGACATTATGAGGGCAGGAGAGATTTTCCCGCTGTCATATCACACTAAAATCTGACAGCTGCTGATCAAATAGATGTGTACTCCTCCCAGAGGAAGGCAAGTAGTGAAATTAGAAGCAATGGAAGATGGAGGAGAATCCAATTAGTACAACAGTCTCTGTTCATTCATAACACATTCCGTAATGTGATTTTACCATCTTTTTTTTTTTATTCTGAGACCAATAATCTTTCATATTGAACTTATAAGTCTTTCTTACAGAACACAATTAACAGACATACATAGAAAGCCTTATTTCACAAATTTACATCACAATATTTATATTTCAAATAAAGAGAAACAATCTTTTTCTTTGCATTGCACTGCATCTCAGATTCTGCAGCTGTAAGATCACCACTTTACATACTGTAGATTCAAATTTAATGTTGCTGACAGACTCACACTTGCTCTGCAAAACAGGGTGATATTTTTTTATGCAAAATCAAGTCGTCACGGCATCCAACTTGGCAAATATCAGATGCAGTATGGGTTTTTTGTTTGACATTGATTTCGTGTGACTGTTTTCCTGCTGTAGGGCGCAGCCTGCAGACTTTCTGTTTCTGCTTTTTTTCCTTTTTTTCCCCCTTTGCTTTCTAACCAGCAAATCATACAGTGAAACAGCAAGAAGTCTGGGATAAAAATCAAAACAGATGCTGCCTTTGCAATACTTTAACATGGACATTTAGGATGTGATTTTTTTAGAAGGCATCAATATATCTGCAAGGCTTTATAATTGACTTTTGTTTTCACGATTGGCTCCGATACCAACTAATAAAAAAATTTTTTGGAGCCATTGATCAAATTTTTAACCCAAAATCATGGGCTTTGATGCATTTTTACCCTTTCATAATAAAAAAAAAATAAGGGTATCGGACAAATTATCTGCTTTATACATCTTGTAAGTAAAATCCAAATCTAGATAAGTCATTTTTTCTTAAAATAAGTGTATTTGTGCTTGAATTGAGGAGGTTAAAGTGACATTTTGCCAATGGAACAAGACAATTTACTCTTAAAATAGGAAAACACAACTGCATTGTCTTATTTCAAGTGCATTTTATCCAATTATCTTATTTTAAGAGTAAAAATACTCATTCCATTGGCAAACTATCTCATTTACCTACTCAAATTATGGGTAAATAAACTTAATTTAAGAAAATTCTCCTTAATTCTAGATCATTTTTCCAATGTGGACTTGAGCTATGCTGCAGTATATTAATTGTCTTTTATTGTCCAAAGATAATCAGCAGGTCAGGCCTTAAGGTGAGGAGCTGCAGATTGGCAAGAACTGTCTGATTGATGCATCTTATTTAAACATCTAATGTAAAAAAAAAAAAATCTCAATAAGCCAAAAAACACCTAAAACTAAAACTTATAAATTGCTCTTGATGTGTGCTGATAATTTGTATAAACTGATCCAACCATCCATGTGCACACATTCATGCAGACTATTAGACTCTGAAATGTCAATTTCTACACAGAAAATAAAGGTGCTTAAGGTTGTTGAGTTCTTCTTTTTTCCATTTTCTTACTAAAAATATTATTTCCCAGATTCATGGCTGATGTATCCAAAGCATTAGTCCTACATGTGAAGGTATAGTGGGGGGATTTTCTTTTTCCGGGTGGATCATCAAAATAAGTTGTCCTCCTAATTTTCAATCATTCTGGTGATAAGTTTACGGAAGGCCGTCCTACGTCCTCGTCACCTTTTTCTCTTACCGGTGGTGAATCTGACTTAAAAATTGCAAATCTTCTTTTGGAAAGTAAGCTTGCAAACAGCATGAGCGTGCATGTGGAGAAATGAGCTTGTACATGGTCCTGCACACGTTTAATAGGCGTTCCTTCTCACCAGCGGGTACAGGGTTGTGCATTTGCATTCTTTTTTAAAGTGGAGAGGGCGGGTCTTCTGAAAAATTACTGAAAATCCTCCACTATACCTTTAACATTCAGGTTAAAGTTACTTTTCCATTTTTATTTGGACACAAATTATATGTATATAGATGTAAATCATGATTTTCTTCTCTTCATGCACATCTTACAATGCATATAATCATATTCATTAAACCTGTACAGGATTATCATTAACTGGTGCTGTGTTCAGTTTAACTTTGCAGTATTGCTGGGCTATTAAATAGCTCTGTGCAATGCTGGATATTTACCTGCTGGCTATTCCTACCCGATGGGGGCGTCAAGAGTCAACTTTCAATGACAAAGTAATAAATATTATGTTATTTTCCTATATATATATTATAATACAGACTTGGTTGTATGGCTCAAATAAACGTAAAAATCTGGGTTTGTATTTTTTTGTGTGTCTGATAAGAAGTCATAGCTTTCCAAAAAGCTACCTTTCCTTCCTGGCATCCATCCATTTACTTCCTATAGACAGAGTTTAGTTGTAACTATTTACTCAGTTACATTTATGTGAGTGAATTTTTGAAAAAAGGACTTTTAAGAGTAATTTAACAGCATTGCACTTTTAACTTTTGGGTATTTCTAGATGATGAAGTATTGCTACTTCTAAATGAGTCAACTTTCTGGATACTCCATCCATTATGAGTAACTTCACTTCATGAAAACAAACTTGTTTTAAACAAATATGCCCCACTGAGAGACACGCTTTATTCTTTTTTTTGTACTGAAGGCTTATTGGTTAAATGCTATTTGCTCAATTGGAGGTTTAGTGAAAATAAAGTAAACAATATACTGCAATTTAATGTATTCTTACATATTATAACTATTATTTTGTAACCACAAAGTGGGCTTAAATTAGAATGCAACCAGGTTGTCATTCAGTTTTGTTGATGATGTTTCAACATTTATCCAGGAGTTTTTGTCAAGTCTTTGGATATTTGTCCACTTCTTTCATTTGAAGCCTTTTTGTGGTTGCCATGACCCAAATGACAGCAAATTAACACAGGCAAATTGATTTTGTATGTTTTATTACTCAAAAAGTGCATTTAGAAGAGTGCTCTCTCCACCAAATATGTATTGCGTAATTATTGTACGTTTTATCTTTAATTTTATCCACTCTTTAAAACACAAAAATTTGCAAATTACTTAATATTTTGTTACATTTTGCATCATTTTGTAAAATATTAAATCCATTGTCTTAATCATGGGCAGTAAGTAGATCATTTACTCAATAAGTGAGTAGCCATTTTACCAAATGCTTTTATACTCTTACCTGAGTAATTTTTTTACCCGAGTAAAAGTGTGATGAAGTATTTCTACTCTTATATTTGAGTAACATTTTTGGGTACTCTATCCACCTCTGCCTACAACTATTTAAAGCCCTTTAATAGCTTTAAAATCTCCTAAATTTAATGTATGCTTTAATTCACCCGTATGATGTTTTGCGTTTCCATCTATTTTAGATCTAATCCCAGTTTGGGCATTCTGACTCATATGAAATATGAAAAATATGACATCTAATCATATTTCTAAGTGGCCTCTTGTCGATAGATTCATAAAATCATATTTCCCTACAGTAGACAAAAAGTAGTTCATAAAATAATGGCTGTAAAGGCGGGTTAGGACGCATGACTGGTGGGAAACCTCCTATGGCACCAGAAAAAAAGGAGGATATGACCAGAAAACAAAAAATGAAAAGGGAGGATTATGCAAATCTTTCAGACCAATATTTCATTGATAACAATTATATTGAATTATTTGTGGTAGGTTGGATTTTCCTAAATTATTATTATTATTTTATATAATTCATTAAATATTTGAACTACAATGACAAATAAACCGCTTAAAGTGCAATGCTTCGTTCACAGGTACAAAATGGAAACATCATGCGTAATTTAGAAAGTCTTAAGAAATCTCCAGTGAGGTGAATTGACCCGGTTCTATATTAAGCATACATAAGCCTATTTCAGGAAACGGTTCAGGACCTGCAGCATTTGAAGCGGATGAGTTTTTGGAAAGCCTTCTTGAAGTCTTCGTTAGACATGGTGTAAATGATGGGGTTAATCAGAGAGTTCAGGTATCCTAACCAGGTGAAAAAGTCGAACAACTCAGGGTTCAAACATGAGTCGCATGCGGCCACCAGCAAGGTGTAAATGAAAAATGGAAGCCAGCAGATGATATAAGCGCCGAGGATTATCCCGAGAGTCTTGGTCGCTTTTCTCTCTCTGGCTGCAGAAATACGCTTTTTCTCCAGAAGCGCGTCCGATACCGTAACTTTGACCTGGTTCTCACTGGTTGCAGAGCCGGTATCACTGGACGGGGTGTCATGCCTCCCGCACTGCAGGGAGGTCGTGGACGCCACGGATCCAGGAGAGTTGGTGACCAGGTGCGCGGAGGTGAGTCTCTTCCCAACCTTCTTTGGAGACTGTTTGAGAATACGTTTACGCGCCTCCACGTATATCCTCCCATACAGGACGATGAGGAGAAGGGTGGGGATGTAGAACGCCCCGAAGGTGGAGTATATGGTGTAAAAGATGTGATCTGTGTTGACACTGCAGCTTGTTAGCTCGTCTGCCTTCACCTGCCTCCAAAAGAGAGGCGGGAGGGAGATGGAGATGGCGATGACCCAGGCTGTGGCCACCATGCCGGCTGCGCGCCCCGGCGTGCGCTTTTTGGAGTACTCCACTGCGTCAGTGATGGCCCAGTATCTATCCAGCGCAATTACGCATAGATGCAGTATGGATGCGGTGCAACATGTTATGTCCGATGAAAGCCAAATGTCGCAAACGATCTGCCCCAGCGTCCAGGTGTGGATCACCGTGTACAAGACGCAGATGGGCATCACCAATATGGACACCAGGAGGTCAGTGACAGCCAGAGAGGCAATTAGAAAGTTCGCTGGAGTTTGCAGCTTCTTGGATTGGGAAATAGTTGCAATGACAAAGGCGTTGGATAAAGTGGTGGCGAGCGTAATGACAGAGAGGATCGCAGCCAGAGAGATCTGATAGACGAGGCTCTCTGCGCTCTCGGCTGCAGCGGGTGAGTGGGAAACAAAACTGTCATTAGAGATGTTGACGGGTTGAGTGGGTTCCAGTTGCCCAGAATGTTCCATAACTTCCACTTTTATGTCATCCATTGATGGAAGTCATCTCAGGTGCCCGCTGCGCGCCATCCAGTCAGAGAAATGGCACAGCTGGATGGAAACAAAAACTCCACTTCATACTTTTTTTTTATTCGTTTTCGGCTCGAAAAATATAAAGCCAGATGTCCATAAATCTTTTCCATTTTTTATCCATAAAAAAATTCTGTATCTATGTTCCCATTCAAAAACAAAAAGAAAATGTAGAGAGATGCGCCGGGATGATTTAAACCATCAGGAAACATGTCATCATAGATCCGCATGGAGACCAGGTGTTTGCCAGAGTTGTGACTCCTTGAGCCCCTTGTGGCTGAATGGAGATCCGACCTGACGCCTCGTTTTATACACACTCTGACATCAGACAAGCGCCACTGATCACAACCATGTTCACTCTCATCCCCTCTCTGTCTCTCTCTCTCTCTCTGGAGGAGTAGGCTCTCTGCTGGGTCATAGTGCTCAGTGTTTCCCTTTTAGAAAGCAATCTGGTGATTCCTAATATGGGCAGCATGGCTCACCACTCAGGGTGCCAAAGGCAACAAAATGATAATTATCCAGCAAAAACTTTTTTTTAGCTCTTTTTTTTAACCTTTTTATGCTCTGGTGTAATCACAGAAAACACAAATTAGCAACAATACTCAGACTGACAACTGATTTATCAGATTTGGTCTTGATTTAAGGGGCTGGTCCGTAATTTTTAAGGAATCATGGCATCATTTGTCATCTTTAGTTTTTTTCAAATCTAACCTAGGCTAACCTAAATTAAACAGATTTGTTATTTAAAAGACATTTTTTACATTCCCATCCCCAGAAGGAAACACAGTTTTATATTTATTGGATGTTTCAGCAGCAAAACAGTTGGGAGTGCTGCACATAATGGGAACACACACAGGAAAAAAAACATTACAAGATAAATATAAAGAACAATGATTGATTATACTGAAATGAAAGACAGTTGACCCTGCGATGGACTGGCGACCTGTCTAAGGTGTGCCTTGCCTCTCGCCCATTGACACCAGCACCCCTCGCTATCCCCCTTGGGATTAAGCATGTTTGAAAATGGATGGATGAAAGACAGTTGGACTTCAAACTCTAGAGAATATTTAGATAGCCCAATCAAAGGCCAGACATATGAAAAAATATTTTTTTTAAATGTACCAGAAATTTGACTGGAAGCATAAACTGATAATGTTTAGATAGCTCAGTCAATGAATCTCTAAATTTATTCATTTTTAATCTAGATTTAAAGCCACTCAGGGTTTTAGCACTTTTAACTAAAATCTCCTTCAAAATAACGGCTGCTGTCAATTAGTAGTAAAGTAAAATATTCTTCACCTCAAACGTTGGAGTAGTACTTTAGTAGTAATTAATATGTAACAAACATAAAATAAATCCATCAGAATTTTTTTACACATTTTTTTAAATAATTTTTTTTATTAGAAAGCAATTTATTTTTATTTATTTTACCTTTATTTTACCAGGAAGTCCCTTGAGATAAAATCTCTTTTTCGAGGGAGACCTGGCCAAGAGGCAGCAATTCACATTACAGTAGAGATGTGTGTCCATGCGCACATCTTTTTCATATCAGTAATTAACAATATGTACATATTGGTATCATAAAATATATTGTGCAACTCGAACAGTTGAGAACAAGGCATGCTATCGACCTCCTAGAGTGTTTTTGTTAGTTAAATCATGCAAACAGAACATCACAAAACTGAAAAAATACAAAATTAGAAAAATAACTTAAATAAAAAACAATTATAGAGCGAAATAATAAATGTCGTAATGGTTACAGCTAAATAGCTAACAATCTAATTAAGCTATAATTATATAGTATAAATAACAATTTGCTTGGAAAGGAATTTTTGGACTTCTTTCCCCTCTTTCACACACCAACAAACAATAAACTCTACCAGCTCTGCCATGAAGAGTGGTTAAAATTAGAACAAAAGCTTGTGGATGGCTATAAAAAGTGTGTCGATAACTTGATAACTAACATTAAACCACAAATGAGAAGAGGTGTA